GGGCTCAAGCATCAGAGTTGCTGAGGAGAAGGCAGCATTGTTCTGTCTATGTCCCTCTGTGCAATTCCCTTTCTTTTTCGGGCTGCTTTTAAGATTTTCTCTTCATCACCTGCTTTTAGCAACTTGATGGTGATATGCCCTGGTATGCTTTTTGTGCTTATCCTCCTTGGAAAGTCTTTTTTTTTTCCCCTAAAGATTTTATTTATTCATCTGACAGAGAGAGACACAGCGAGAGAGGGAACACAAGCAGGGGGAGTGGGAGAGGGAGAAGCAGGCTTCCCGCGGAGCAGGGAGCCCAATGTGGGGCTCGATCCCAGGACCCTGGGATCATGACCTGAGCCGAAGGCAGACGCTTAATGACTGAGCCACCCAGGTGCCTCATCCTTGGAAAGTCTTATAAGTCTTGGATCTGTGGGTTCATAGCTTTCCAAAAACTTGGACGGTTATGTCTAAGCATTCCCTCCCCCTTTATTCTTGAAGTTCGCTTGTGTGTCAGGCTGTGTGATATCGTCCCCATGAGGCTCTGCTCACTGTTTCCAGTCTGGTTTTCTCTGGACATCACTATGAATAGTTTCTATGGTTACTCTAGTTCAGTGATCTTTTCTTCTGCAGTATCTAATCTGTTAATCCCCTGCAGTGACTTATACAAATAAGCTTTGGATTTTAGAGTAACTTTAGGTTTACAGAAAAGTTGGGAAGATAGTACAGAGTTCTCATATACCCTGCACACTATTATTAACATTGTGTACTTGTCGCAAGTAATGAATCAATATACAGGTCTCCCCTGCTATCTGAAAGTAGAGTGTTCCCAAGAAATCTTTTGTAAGCCGAAATTCGTAAAGCAAAAAATTACCGCTAATTAATATGGAAAAATCTAGAGTAGTCACAGACCCCAAAAATAATCTTTCAGTTAGCTAAAACAGGTACTAATGTAGGTCTTTTTTAAAGCAAGATGGCATAACATGAACTTTCAAAAAAAGGGGCATGCCTGTACCTTATTATTAACTAAAGTTCCTATTTTATTCAGATTTCCTTAGTTTTTATCTTCTGTCCTTCTGTCCCAGGACATCATCCAAGGGATTATGTTACATTTAGTTATTATGTCTCCTTACATTCCCCTTGGCTGGGACAGTCTCTTAGACTTTCCTGGTTTCTCTTGACCTTGACAGTTTTGAGGAGTACTTGTCCGGTATTTTGTAGAATGTCACTCAATTTGGATTTGTCCTGTGTCTTTTCCTCATGACTAGTTGAGGTTATATAAGTTTTTGGAGGAAGACCACAGAGGTTAAGTGCCCTTCTCATGTCATGGCAAGGACGCACAATCTGAGGCCATGTCTATCAGGTGTCCCCACTGTAGTTGCCCCCCCCCCCACTCTGTTGCTTCTTGGAAGAAAGTCACTATGTGTAGTCCACATATACAGGTGAGGAGATATGTGATGCCTCCCTGAAGGGGGATCTACACAAACAATGTGGAATTCTTCTGCATGGGAAACTTGTTCCATTGACATTTTATTCTCTGTCTTCATGGGTTTGCTTTACTTCTTTGAGCACTCGGAATATTTTTACAATTGTTTTAATGTCTTTGTTGGCTAGTTCCCATCACCCCTGGGAACACTGCTATGACTCTCCCCTTCTTTGTCATAGGACACACTCTCCTGCCAATTGGCTCACCTGTTAGTTTTGATAGGGCTCTGGACACGAGGGTTTTTATGTTGTGTCTAGGTTTTGTGATCTTCCTCCTGAGAGTGTTTTGTGTGGATCAGCCTGATCCTTTTACGGCTTTTCTTCAAATTCGATTACATTGTGTTTGGGGCAGATTTTCTTAATTCAGTCCCACTTCCAAGCTGTAGCTCTTTTAGTCTCTGCTGAATGCTCTGCATGTTCAATGTGGTTCCTCCAAATTGGCTGGGAGAACTCAGGTAATTCACGGCCCTGTGTGAGCTCTCCTCAATAGCTGTTCCTTTTCTAGAAGGTTCTCAGGCTGGCTTCATAGGTCTCATCCTATGGGCAGGTGGAACCAATACTCTGCTGAAGACCCAAAGGGGCTCATGTGCAGACTCCTGGAGCTCTTTCCTGGTACAGCTCCCTTCCCTGGTACCACATCTTGCAAACTCTAGCTGCCTTGGCTTTTCCAAAGTCTGGGCTGTTAGTTTGAAAACCGCCTCCAGGAAGAAAGCCTGGGCACCTGTGTGGCTTACCTGTCCTTCCTGTTTTCCAATCCTGAACATTGTTCAAGGGTTAAGCCCACAATGACTGTGTCCTACAAGCCCTACCTTAAGGGCCATCAGGAGTTTCAAAGGTTTCCTGGTGAATCCATCACAGAACACCATGTTCCATCTCCCTGCCTGATGATTCAAGACCCCTCCTTCTCTGCTACCTCTGGGGAATTCCTGGAGGTGGTCTTAGCTTTTCCTTGGGTATAATCAAAGCCTGTGATTAGAAGCATGGAAGCAGCAGGGAGAAGTGTGTGCCCAGCTGCTGGCTGGTGAGCAATGCCCTAATCCTGAGATGCACTTCTCTTTCCTTCTCTCCTTCCTTCCTTTTCTTTCTCTCTTTCTTTCTATTTAAAGTGAACTCTACACCCAGCATGGGGCTCGAACTCACAGCCTCGAGACCAAGAGTTGCACTCTCTACCCACTGAGCCAGCCAGGTGCCCTGAGATGCACTTTTTTTTTTTTTTTTAAGATTTTATTTATTTGCGAGAGAGAGAATGAGAGACAGAGAGCATGAGAGGGAGGAGGGTCAGAGGGAGAAGCAGACTCCCTGCCGAGCAGGACTCGATCCCGGGACTTCAGGATCACGACCTGAGCCGAAGGCAGTCGCCCAACCGACTGAGCCGCCCAGGCGCCCCTGAGATGCACTTCTTAGTAACTGCCAAGTCTGACTGTGAATTTGGAGCCTCTGGCCTTATTTTTGACGGCACTAGGAATAATCTAAAACGAATCTAAATTCTGCAGGCATGTATGCTTTTGTAGAGAGGATCTCTGTCTTTGAGTATTTTCTCAAAGGCTCCGTGACCCCAAAGGGTTAATAACCACTGTATTCCATGAGGGGGACCATCTGCACTATCTACCCAGAACACTTCGGTCCCCCAAATGTCAACCCGAAGACTAGTCTGGCACGATGTGCCCTGGTCTCCTGTCTGGCTGGCCGACCCTCTCTGGGGTCCAGGGACACGGGCATTTGGGGCGGTAGGTGTGTGGCTGGAGCCATGTGGCCACAGCAGCTGAGAAATCCAGGCTGCAGAGGGAGGTGACAGGACGTGTGAGGCTGGTCGAGAAATGGAGGGTCACTTAGGTCCTCCTCCCCCGTCCTAGTTTTGTCCTTATCTGAGTGTGAGACCTTCGGCACCGTCATGTCCTGTTCTTCTTTCTGCTTAAGTTAGCTTATGTTAGTTCCTGCAACACAAGCACCCAACACAGTCCTCCTCATCTCTGGCCGCCGGCGTCCTGCACTCTGATCTCCAGGCCAGGGAACACGTGCAGGCCGGTGCCTCTGCTCACTCTGGCTTTCCGGCTCAAGAACGGAGGGGTCTGTGGTGGCAGCTGCTGTCCTCCTTTCACGGAAGACAGCCCCCCCCCTCCGAGGGAGAGGGCGCCTTGAAGCCAGAGCTGCAGGCTCCAGGGCCTATGGAGTGTGAGGACTCTGGCCTGGCCCCCATATCATACCCGATGGGAGCTCTTTGCACATTCCAGAGTGGGTCTATCCCACTGCCCCCTTCCAGGTCCTCGAATAAAGGATTCTGAGCACACACGGGTCCTGTGGGGTCAGGCGCGCACGGCTATGCTCCGGGCATCTACCTTCCCCCCACCCCCACCCCCACCCCCACCCCCAAGGAGGCCATCATGGCCCAGACCTCCAGCCCCGTTCGGAGACCCACATGCCCTGGGCCCCTCCTCACCCCGCACCCCCGCCCACCTCACCCCCTGGGGGGTGGCGGGAGGAAACAGACTCAGGAGGCCACAGTGTAGAGTCTGTCGTTTATAGGTCTCTGCCAGTCTCGTCCGTCCGTCTGTCTCTGTATGTGTGTATCTCTACCGAAGGGGTGAGGGGGACTCATGTAAAAATCCAAAATACAATCCTGACTGAGCACCCGCAGTGCTGGTCAGTCCCAGTGAGGCCAGGGTCTAACTAAGAAAACAGGTAGGGCAGGGCCAGCGTCTCGACCCTGTGGGCATGGGTGGGTGGGGGTCTCCTGCTGCCACCAGGAAATACAGAGTGCCTGGCAAAGACGGTCAGGGAGCAACAGCTGGTCTTCATCAGAAAGATGCTGGATTCAGGTCTGGTTTAACCAATCTCCAGCTTTTTTTGTTAAGTTTCCTGATGTTTTTGAGACTCAGTTTTCTCTTCTATTCTTCTTCTTCTTCTTTTTTTTTTTTTTTTAAGAGATTTTATTCATCCATCCATGAGAGACACAGAGAGAGAGGCAGAGGGAGAAACAAGCTCCCTACTGAGCAGGGAGCCCGACGTGGGACTCAATCCCAGGACCCCGGGATCATGACTGGAGCTGAAGGCAGACACTTAATGACCGAGCCACCAGGCGCCCAAAACTCAGTTTTCTTATCTACAAAATGGCCAACTGTCCCCTCCTTGCATGGCTGTGGATGGAGGAGAATTGATACTCTTGTGCAAGCGAGGTCTGAGGAAGCACAGCCGGGCTACCGTGTGGTGGCCGCAGCCATCTACGTCAGGGAGGCCCTGCAGCATGCCGTCCAGCCTGCCGCTGGGAGCAGTAGCCTGCGGTGCTCCTTCAGCATTTTGGCTCAACGGACAGATCCCTAAAGGCAGGATCCAGAGGGCCTGCTGGGTCCTGGCAGCTGTCTGAGAACGAGCTCAGCAGGCTTGGGGGGTGCCTCACCTGGCTCTCAGTGTCTGGGGAGGAGGAGTGTCCCTGCCTGTCAAGGGAGCTCTGGAAATGGTCCATAGCCAGCTCTGAGTGTACAGGGGCGACCGTGGCCTGATTCACGGACAGTCCCAGTGGGTGTGGGAGGCACAGGCTGTAGGGCAGGAGAGCTGAGGCACACCCCAGGCTGCGCTCATGGTGGCCAAGTTCCCTCTCTGCAGCATCTCTAAAGACCCTTGCTTACCCAGCTGAGATGCCATGCCCAGTGCATCTTTAACTGTATCAGGATTTGAGGGTGAGTAAGCCAACGTAATCCTCTGGGGCAGTGACCTGTGGTCTGTCCCTCAGGCTGGGCAGAGGAAGCTCAACGCTGTCCAGACCTGACCCCACTGGCCGGAGGGTTTCTGGGACTGGACCCCTTCCCTCACCTTACTCAGCCTTGAGAGTCAGCCACCATACCTCTGACTGCCCCTTGTCCCCTAGGTCAAACGTGGTGAGTTTCTCTTGGTACAACTGTGAGAAAACTTCCAACACAAAGGGAAGACACCAAAAGCAAGGACATCAGAGCTCTCCAAGGCCTCTGAGAGCCAGACTCTGGGCCACAAGTCTGCAGAAGACCCTGTGTGGACTTTTGTGGTAGAGGCCACAGGTACAGGACCATCTCCTGACCCCGAGCCAGGCAGTTCCCCAGGCCCCTGCCCAGCCTGGAAAGGGCTTCCTTCCACTACTGAGTTACTGTTTGGTTTCTGTATTCATTGTTAGTGCCAGCCCCTACCACTATGTCCCGCTTGACCTGCATATAGACCAGGAAGGATCAAATACTCATGCTCCAGCCGGTTCCCCATCTCCCTTTCCCCTGACCCGATTCCCATCCCCCCAACGCCAACAGGATTCAAAGGCAGCCACTATAAGTGAGAGCTGTCACAGGCCTGATCATTCCTGTTCAAAGGCCTTGCCAGAACATAGAACACAGGCTGCAGGTCCTGGAGAGTAAGCTGGTGACACTTCACCCACATGCCTCACAATCTTTAAGCAGAAAAAGCAAGCAGATTAAGGGGCACCCTAGCAGGTGGGATGGATCACCCTAGCAGGATTAGACTTGGAATATTTCCCAGGGCATCTCTGATGCCCCTCCCCAATCTGGGTTTAAGAGTGTTTCCTGGAAGTTAGGGGAAGGAAAAAGAGGAAGAAGGAAGATAAAGGAAAACAGAAATGTGGGGTCACTTCCTTTGGTCAGAAAAATTCGAGGTCTGGAAAGAGGGGATGGTGGTAACACGGCAGCTTGTAGGAAAGCATGTTTCTCCTTTTCAGGGCCCTTGCCTGTCATCAGAGAAAACAGGTAGTGCACTGAGGAATGGAGTGCCCACACATGCAAGTCACGGAAACCAATACAAAGTGTCTCCAATAAGAACGCTGCATGATACCTAGTCTCTTTATTCCCAGTCTTCAGGCAGAGCAGCGCTTGAGCAAGCAGACAACCCAAGAGTCAGCTTCAACCTAAACATTTCATCATTCCTAACGGCTTAAGAGCATGAAAGGAAGTGCTTAGCAAAGTCTGAGAAACCCAGCGTCTTGGCCCTCAAGAGGTCGAGCATATTTGGAGGCACCCAGAGGCTCTGGACCAGGGTGGCCTTTCTTCAGGGCACCCATTTGCCAGCCCTGGGGTATGGCTCTGGCCTTCGCCAGACACGACATCCCAGGATGGGAACAGCAGATTCCGATCTTCAGCTCCAGACACACGCTCTGATTTACCTCTGCAAAACCGGAGCTGTCCGGTCTTGCAGGGTCAAACCTGGTAAACAAGCCTGCTGCCAGGCAACAGAAGACAGGGACCTGAATAAAGACGCCCTGTGAGGAACGAAAAACAAAGCGGCTCTAGGGAAACCCAGCTCCAGTACCTCTGGGCATGGGTTCGAGATCAGCTTGAACTTCACGGCGTTTTACTTTCTGTTTTCGTTCCTTTCCCCTTTGCACTAGAGCAACGCCCTCCAATGCACGCGCCACGTCCTAATTTTCCACGAATAGCTGCCGACCACACCACCCTGGTAGCTCACTTGATAAAATACAGACGGGCACCTGGGCACAAGGATCGCAGCGAGACCGGGTACCGCTCTACGGGCCGACACGCTCCCGCGATCGCCCGACAGTTAGCGACGACCGGAGGAGAGGCCCTTCCTCCCCAGCCCGGGCACCCTTGGCGTGGCGGGAGCCGACAGAGCGAGCCCCGCACGCTTTTCCCGCGAGCCCTGAGCCTGAGCCCCCGCCTCCCCACACCCCACCCCTCACGGGGCCTGGCCCCGGCCCCTCACCGGGCTCCAGCAGATAAGAGCGTCGGTGTCCGGGTCGCTCACGAGGGTCCACAGCTTGGTCAGGAAGGCCGGGACGTTGCTGGGCCCCGCCGCGCCGGGGCCCACGGGCAGGTCCATAGCGGGCTAGGCGGGGAGAGGCGGAGGTGACGACCGCGAAATGGGGCCTCGGGCCGGGCTAGCGCTGCCGACGCGCCTGCCGCCGGGGTAGCACCGCCGCCGCCGCCGGCTGCGCACACACGGCCCCGCGGCCTAGCATGGCCGCAGCCATCTTGCGACGGGCGCGCTCCCGCCGGCGCCACCCGCCCGCGTCGCCCGGGCGCGCGTACGTCCGCCCCGCCCCGCCCCAGCGCCCGCCCCGCCCCAGCGCCCGCCCCGCCCCAGCGCCCGCCCCGCCCCCAGCGCCCGCCCCGCCCCGCCCCCAGCGCCCGCCCCCTCCCGCGCTTCTGCCGCCGCGCGCTTGCGCGTGCTGGACCCGCCCCACCAATCGGGCCGGGAAGGGCGGGCCGGGCCGCGCCCCCTGACCCCGCAGGCCCCGCCCCGTTCCCACGCGGCCTGCGCTGCCGGAAGTGGCGGCGCGGTCGGGACCGGCCGGGTAGCATGGCGGGCGCGCGGGGCGCGGGGCGTGCAGCGGCGACGGCGGCGCGGCCCGGGAAGCCGCCGCGGGGGCCGGAGCCGGAGCCGGAGCCGGAGCCGGAGGAGGTGACGGGGGAGCGGGTCCGAGCGGCGGGGTCGGGCGGCGGGCCCGGGGCCGCACGTGGTGGCTCGTCGGCCCACCGCGAGGCCACCCGGCGCGCGGCGGGCCTGGGAACGTGCGGAGGAGGGGTCGCCTGTCCTGTGCGGCCTGGGCAGGGAGCACCCCTTGCGCAGGGCCGGCTGGAGGGGGAGGCGGAGGAGGGAGAGCTGGGCAGGAGCGGTGGCATCCTGTGCGGCAGCCCTGAAACCCTCTGGATCGTGCATCCTCCCGTCGCACGGGTCTGCGCGCGCTCCCCCAGTGAGTACGTACGTATTTACGCGCTGGGGCCCGTCAGGCATATTCCAAAAGTGCGGAAGACAGGCGACTGAACGAACCCGGGGCTCACCGCCTGGGACGTGTGTTAAGTGGACGGACGGCCACGCCGGCCGCGATGTCAGTGCGTCCGGGCTGTAGAAGGTCCTGGCAGCACGTGCAGCCGGGCGCCTCTCGGCGGACTCTCGCCTGCGGGCCAGCCCCTTCTGCACAAAGTGCAGGCTGCCCAGCTGGGTGAGAGAGTTGCGAGCTATTGGAAAACAGTGAAATCCAGGATTCCGTACTCAGAAGTTTCCTAGAAGTCTGCAATTTCTTGTTCGTGTTTAGACGGCAGTGACGGGGTTCACCCGCTGTGCATTGTGTCCTGTAGAGAGAGGGGTGAGATGGTATCTGGTAAGCAGGGCTCTGCTCAGGAAAAGCTGGGGCCCTACCCGAGGAGGGGACGAGTGGGTATATACTTGTTTTTAAGTCAGATCTGTATCATTTTTGTCACTGTTCAGCCCACCTTTACAACTTACTGATCAACTGTTGGTCTCCATCTAGTTGGATACCGAGGCTTCTCTTGCAGAGAGAAAAGCCCCTCCATGGTCCTGTACCTCTGCTGGCCCCAGCTTCTGCCCCAGTGCCCTCATAGCTCTGGGGTTTGCCAGCGTGGGATGCGGAGGGTGGAGAGCCTGGGTTGGAAATGTGATGGGAACTGAACTCTAAGAAAGAGATGTTGTCCTTGAAAAGCCCTTCCCTTGTGAGATGCAAGAAATTCAATGTCCCTTCCGAGGGCAGGTGGCCATCCTGTCAGTGGAGGTGGACAGTGAGGAAGGTTCTGCCCGGGTTGGGTGGATGGTTTTGGTGGAGACAGAAGCTTGTGACCTGAGGGCTTTGGCCTTGGAGGCTGACCACACAGAGCCATGGGTCATCAGGGTGCCTGTGGGGTGGTGGGTGGCCTGGGGGTGTGGTCGTCATCAACACTGTGCTCCTTGCAGCCTTCTCTCGCCTGTGCTCCTGCTCCCAGCCTCCAGGATGGCAGTGATTCTGGCCTGTCTGAAAGCGAGGAGAGTGTGTTCTCAGGCCTGGAAGATTCCGGCAGCGACAGTAGTGAAGATGACCCAGCCGAGAGAGAGGATGGGGTCAGCAGTGATGAGGGCCCCAGCGGAATGGAGAAGACCACTGGGCAGCAGGTGCAGGTGGGTGAGCGAGGAGCCTGCCAGTAGGCTGTCCTCTCCAGATGAAGATGGCCAGGAAAGAAAGTGACTGCCAGGTCTTAGGCTCTCTGGGGGGCTGTCCCCACACTGCTTTCTCCCAAGTTTCCTTGGGAACCCCAAGGCCCACATCCTTCCTCTGATGCACCTGTGGGCACATTTGGCACCAAGTGGAACACTTGATTAGAGCTGGAGTGCTCTGAGCTCTTGGGGGTTGTTTTTCAACCACAGTTATGTGCTCTGTTCTCAGGAACTCCAAAAATCCACATGCCTGGGCCTCTTCAGGTGATTCTGATGTCACCTCTCCATGGAACTCAGCCCACTTTCAGTTGTAGGCTGGGTTTCTTGCGGGCAAAGCCTGAGGTAGGGATTCATGTGCAAGGGACTGCCTGGTGGGGAGCTCACAGGACACACAGGGAGCCACCCGAACACCTGAGCCTGATTCCAGGGAGCCTGGCTGGGTGAGGCTTTGGCCTGTACCTGTCCCTGTGATGATGGGGAAGGGTGCACTTCCCCCTTGTCTTAAGTGAGAAAAATGAGAGAAAAGCTTAATTTAATTAAGATACAGTATTTGCTCTTTGGAATGTTTTATTTATTTATCTATTAAAAGATTTTATTTGACAGAGAGAGGGAGAGAGACAGCGAGAGAGGGAACACAAGCAGTGGGAGTGGGAAAGGGAGAAGCAGGCTTCCCAAGGAGCAGGGAGCCTGACGGGCTCGATCCCAGGACCCTGGGATCATGACCTGAGCCGAAGGCTCACCTGAGCCACCTGGGCCACCTGGGCACCCCTAGAATGTTTTAGAAAGTAGTTCATAACTATTTGTATTTCCAATGGGTCTGGTGTTCTGAAGGTTATGACCTTGAGTCATACAGAAATCTAGTCCCATAATAGAAACCAAAAAGCCATGCTTGTTTGATCTGTTTCCTAGGAAGAAAGGATTTAAAGTCAGATTTAAACCTTTTTTTCCTTTTTTTTAAGATTATTTATTTGAGAAAGAGCAGGGGGGAGGAGCAGAGGGAGAAGCAGACTCTCTGCAGAGCAGGGAGCCCTATGCAGGACTTGATCCCAGGACCCTGGGACCACGACCCAAGCCGAAGGCAGACACTTAACTAACTGAGCCACCCAGGTACTGAGATTTAAACCTTCTACCCATTCAAGCTTTAGTCCTAATGCTGGTGTGCATAGAGAGATGATGTACGAACTGTATTGACTGTGGTTTGTAGGATGATGGGCAACTGAACTGTTTTTCCTCCTTTTTTTTAACTTTTTAAAATTACAAAATGTACCTTCCTTGACAAAAATTAAATCTTTCATCAACACTACTCAGTAAAGAGTGGAAGTTCTTCCTCAAGACCAATGCTCCAATTGGTGACCACCGCTAATAATCATCTTTCCACGTCATTGCTCCTTTTACAATTAAGGATCCACACATTTATTTACTTATTTATTTTTAAGTAGGCTCCACGGGACGCCTGGGTGGCTCAGTCAGTGAAGCATCTGCCTTCGGCTCAGGTTTTGATCCCGGGGTCCTGGGATCGAGTCCTGCATCGGGCTCCCTGCTCAGCGGGAAGCCTGCTTCTCCCTCGCCGTGCCCCCTGCTTGTGCTCGCTTGCTCTCTCTCTGACAAATAAAATCTTTAAATAAATAAATTAATAAAATAAAAAAAATTAATAAAATAAAATAAAATAAATAAAGCTCCAGCATGGAGCCCAAGGCAGAGCTTAAACTCATGACTGTGAGATCAAGACTTGAACCAAGATCGAGAGTCACTTAACGACTGAGCCACCCAGGAGCCCCTAATTTTTTTTATTTTGAAAAGGGGTTTTTATCCTTTTTTAGAAATAAAATTTTAAAAATAATTTTTAAATTAATTTTTTACAGAGAGAGAGAGCGTGAGCGTGTATGTGCCCGTGAGCATGTACGTGCACCTGAGCAGGAGGGGCAGAGAGAGACTCTTAAGCAGTTTCCCTGCTGAGCATGGAGCCCGATAAGGGGCTTGATCCCATGACCCTGAGATCATGGCCTGAGCCGAATTCAGGAGTTGGATGCTCAACCAACTGAGTCACCTAGGTGCCCCTAAAAATAATTTTTAAAAATTAAATCACTTTTGGGGCACCTGGCTGACTCGGTAGGTAAAGCATGTGACTCTTGATCTCTGGGTCATGAGTTCAAGCCCTGTGTTGGGCATGGAGCCTACTTAAAAAAAGTTTAAATAACTTTTTAAATAAAAATGTTCTATTTGTGGTGCCTGGGTGTCTCTGTCAGTTAAGCATCCGGCTCTTGATTTTGGTTCAGGTCGTGATCTCAGGGTCGTGGGGGCGAGCCCTCTGCTGGGCGTGGAGCCTGCTTAAGAGTCTCTCCCTCTCCCTCTGCCCCTCCCCCACTTAAAAATTTTTTTTTTTTTAAGATTTTATTTATTTATTTGACAGAGAGAGAGACACAGCGAGAGAGGGAACACAAGCAGGGGGAGTGGGAGAGGGAGAAGCAGGCTTCCCGCCGAGCAGAGAGCGCGATGCGGGGCTCGATCCCAGGACCCTGGGATCATGACCTGAGCGGAAGGCAGACGCTTAACGACTGAGCCACCCAGGCGCCCCTTTAAAAAATTTCTACTTAAATTCTCTAAGCTAGGTAACGTGTGCAAGTATGTCAAGTGGCTGGCGCGTGGAGTCTGGTGGAGGGGCACCATTGTGGGCGTGGCCACGCTCCCTCCCTCTGAGCGGCTGGGCTGGTGCTCGTCGCCTGGGCTCTCCGTCCAGTGCTGTGCCCGCGGAGCTGTGTGTTCTCTGCAAGGCCACCTTCTCGGGTCTGCTTGCTGGCGCATTCAGCGGGGACTGAAGCCCTCCCTTCTCCAGCCTTCAGTCTAGGGAAGCTGGCTCTGGCCGCCTGGATGGGACCAGTTCTCAGAGGGGGGTGAGGCTGTCTCTGGCTCCACCGCAGCCCGATCCGCGCCCCGGCTTGAAGCCAGGACCACGGCCCCCCCAGTGTGCGCTGTGCTGGGGCAGCCTCAGCCTCCTGCCCTGCTTGGGGCTTCACGCCTCTGGCTTTATTGTGCTCTAATTGAGGGGTACAGGTGGCCCCTGTTGGAGTATTTTGTGTTCCAAAGCACAGTTGTCATTTTACTAGGCTTGAATTTCTCTAGGCCAAGAGAGGGGATTGAGGTGGAGGGAGGGGTTCTCAGTCCTTAGTGGAAATCTCCCCATCTCCCCTTTTTTCCACCTGTTCCCCCACAGCCGTCACACTCCTCCATTTGGTTGAGCTGGCTCCCCACTCCACCTCGTGTGCTCACTCACTCTTTGCAGCCGTCTTAGGGGGGCTGCTTCTGCAAGTGGAAGTGCTAACTTCCCAGGGACCCACTTTGGCTTCTGTGGCCACAGAAAATGCCCAGCTACTCTTCCTCCCATTCCTGTGCCTCCTTTCTGGGGCCTGGTTCTTACCAGGCCGCCGACCGGCACCACGCTATGGGGCTTTCCCCTAACTTCTCGGCCACTATGTGCTCCTGCCACTCTTCCTTCCGCATTCTGTCCACCTTAACCTGTGTCAAGGCTTCCACCACTTCCAAGGATGGGCGAGCCACCCCCCACTCCCGGCCACCCTGCTGCACGCGCCCAAAGGGCACCCCGCCTCCCCGTGGGGCTGCGTGCTGACGTCACCCCGCCTCCCCATGGGGCTTTGTGCTGACGTCAGGGACATGGCCTGAGGCCGAAGCCAGCAGGGAGAGGTGCTGCTCACGGCCCAGCTCTGCGGACTGGAGTGGGATGCACCCGGCCCAGGCACTCCAGTCAGCTGACTGACCTCTACAAGACGGAGCCGGAGGGTTTGCCTTCCTGTTCTGGGAGGAACGGGGCTGATAAGTCATTGTCAGGGGACCCTGCCCCACAAGTCATGGGTTCCAGGTACGTCTGCCACAGGGCCATCCCAGACTGGCTGTGACTATCCTGCTGAAGTCATCCAGGGATGAGAATGGATGGCCGGGTGATCGCTGGCACGTTCTGGGGGGACTGCCCTGAGTCTCCGCCTTCCTTTCCCATGGGGAGGGATGGGGTTACGTGGCCCAGGTGCTCAGGGTCGTCCTGGGGAGACATGGCCCGCTTTGGTGCCAGGCTGCCCTGGGCACCACTGTATGTGAGCTCTTCCTTCTCCACTTCCTCTTGGGTCTTTGGACGCGATTCAGACATGTCCACCGCTTTCTTTTTAAGGGTTGTGTGGGATTATGTGACAAGCATCGCAGGACACACCAGGGTGATCGCTGGGGAGCTCCTGAGGGTCGTCCCTCCCACTGTCCTGCCTCCTGCCCCCGCGTAAGGATGAGGACTGTGCCTGGGTCTGTCTAGGGTGTTCTTTGCACATCCAGGCCTCCGTTTGTGCCGTGCCTGCCTGCTTCCTAACGTCTGTCTTCTGCTCTTCCCTCTGGCTCTGAGGGCTGTCCTCACCACTTGGTGTCCGCGGTGCGTGGGGGCCGCCCCGGCGGTGGGCAGTGCTGCTGGAATCCCGTGGCGTATGCTCGTTCTCACATGTGCAAGCAGTTCTTGGGATGCGTTCCCAGAAGCATCTCTGGGTCAAAGGCCAGAGCATTTTTAGTGGAAGGGAAGTGCCACTTAGCACTCGTGACAGCCGCCTCAGTCATCTCTTTCCCGTACCCGTCGAGACCATGTGTGCTTAAGAGTCTTTCTTTTTCCTACTTTGACACGTGGAAGATGTGGTCTCTTGTTGCTTTATGGTATTTTCTTACATTACATTACAAAGGGGCATCTTTTCTTGTCTTTCTGTGAGGACTGTTTGAGCTGTATTGAGAACGCCCAAAGCGGGAAGTTTGCGTTGCTCTCGTGTCTCAAAGGTCGGGCTCGGCAGGCTGCGCTTCATTTCCCCTTCGCGTGGGTCAGAGAAGGCCACGTGGACCCTTGGCGTGTGCCGCTTCTGAACTTGGGCCTCTCTGCCTAGCTGGGCCTGCAGCCCCCTCCCCGCTCCCTGCTCCCCGCTCCCGGG